TTTTTTTTTACCCTACCGAGTCAACAACAACAACAAAATAAAAAATGGTGGCCTTAGAGTTAGGTTAAAGGGATGGGGATAGGTTGGGGTTTGGGTTAGGTTAGGGTTAGAGATAAGGAAAATATTTGGACAATTTTTTTTAATTTCGAGTCAATACCAAGCTGTTATGCAGTGTAGCATGAGTCAAAATAACATGATTCCGGAAAAATCATAATTCAAGATTAACCAAATCAACCAATTGCAACGATCTTATCCTTGCACCCGTCTAGAAATTTCGGCAGTGCCTGGTAAGTGCAACTGTATCTGGATCTACTCGCCATGCAAATATTTCTCGTTTAAACACACAACTAGTTTTAAACTCGAACGAGAAAAAAACATTTTATAGCCGTCATATTCTAAATTTAAATGGATCGGTTATTTCTGTGCAAAGGATAATTTAAGAATGTGAAATATATGCCAATCGTAAATTTCTTATTCGAAAGCATTCACCGAGGGTCGTTAAGCACAAAGTTGGCTTTAAAATAATACCAGAAGTAAGTTAATGACTTTAGGGTAAAGTTATCTATCTTGATCCCGAAGATATGGCCCTCGAACGCGTGGATTTGATGCTCACTGAGATGTGCCTGTCGGGCAGAGCTGAGTGGAGTGGCTATGTTTGAACCCATGTCCTGTAGAATACATTGAATCCTCTCTAGTTGTGGGGCGAAGGCATGCTGCTGATCCTTGCAGAACTCGAGTGACACCCTGAAAGTCAGAAACAGAAACAATGCTTAAAGAGAAGACGAAAAAACCTCCTAGAGTCTCAATTGACCAAGATGATCATGCACCGCCATCTGTTGGCAGAGAAATCAGTTATAAACGTGGATTCATAACAGTGCAGCTCGTTGAATGTCTAGCATGTCTATTGACACAAACACAACCTTTGAGTGGATGAAGGAATCTTTTCTAGTTGCGAGGTATGTCAAAAGGCGTTATGAAAACTGTATAATTGCACAAGAATAATAGCATAATAGCATCCAATATAAAATGGTTCCTTAATTTCTCTCCGAGAGAGTTTTCAAGAGTGTCGAACGATGTAGGTCCAATGCCACAGTGCTAGGGCTAATGCGGCAGTCGCACACAAACACTGTGGCTGTGAAACATGCTTACCCGATAGCCGACGACAGCTCGTCGACCGTTCCCAACGTCTCGAATATGTCGTCGTCCTTGCTGCGACGCTCACCGGTGAAGAGAGCAGACGTGCCTGCGGAGCGATCACACATCGTCGTAAATCCCGCAGCTAGGATATCACCCAACGCGACCGTCTCGCCGTCCTTTCGACGACCCATTTTCGTACGAAACGGTCGATTTTATCGACGGGCTGGGGGCGGACATGCTCTTATTTTAATAAATAAATTTATGACATTCACGATTTTTTTCATTCCGTATTTTGAATGTTCAAGCTTATATAATTTCTTTGTAAATCTTGTAAGGACATGAGACACGTGGATGTGGTACGCACGGTGACATTACTGAGGATCAGATCAGATCATCCCGATAGTAAGGAATAGTGGTAGGGATGCTCAAACACGAACATTTTCATTATGAAAATTATAGTCTATTAAAATCATAATTATAGGTTATTAAAAACTACTAGTAGCATTATGCTAGCCGCACACTATACGACCCGATCGGGATCGGGAGGCTTACGTCTGGATCGGGAGATCATTTTGGGCCGATTCGAATTTTGAATCGGGAGCGGAGCGGGTCGAATAGTGTGCGAGGGCTTACGACGCGATTCAGATAGTGTGCGTGGCCATCCGACCCGCCGCCGATCGCTGAATAAAATTGACCAATTACAGAGCAGCGCCATGGGAACCACATTCGGTAAAAATGGCGGAAAAACACTCCCGGCCCTTAGTACACGCTAAATCCGCTTGGAACGCCACGAGAGCGCCATGGTTGGCGCCGACTTTGAGTCGGACAGTGTGCGGGGGCCTCCCGATCGATCGGCTGCCGAGCGTATGGTTTGCGAGGGCTTACGACTGCGGCCCAAGCAAAATCGTATAGTGTGCGGCTAGCATTAGTTTACACACATAGATGTTAATGCACATCAGGTGGATATATGCACTGAACAACAATATAATGGGTGCAGCAACATATGAATCAGAGATATCTATCATCCTCCAACTATATATTATATATCAATCATATATATTATCGTACTGGGCCATTCCAACTGCGGTACAGCCAGGTTACAAGATACCTTGCGAATAACTTGAGACACCACTGTACGTGGCAACCTACATATACGTTACAGAACGTTTTTTTAAGATTGCAATCACCATTTTGGGAGCGGCAAGGTGTAAAGTGCCTCTCCTATTTAAGTGCTCCAATCATGCTTGACCAAACTGTCACTCCTAACGGGCTGCCTTTAAAATGTGTATTCCAAGCTTCAGGGGTAGAAATTAACCTTCGAACACGGGAGTCCAACGGACTCCCTACCCTCTTTTTGAGTCCGCAGCCGAATGAGGGAGTCCGCAGTCTGAGGTTCAAAATTAAAGATATTAACAATAACGCATGTGCTTATTTTTAAGATTCATGCGATTGCACATCTGCCAAATTTTCTTTCCACATTAGCTGAAAAATACGGCAATTCCTCGAGGCCATTCTCTGGAACGAACTAGTTAGTATGGCAGAATTTTCACGGAGTCACACGGACTCCTGCATATGTCAAATCAGGGAGTCCGACGGTAAATCAGGAAGTATTTGACTCCGGACTCCCGTTAATTTCGCACCCTGAAGCTTTTACGTGCCTATTCAGCTAAGGCACAGTATGAACAAAGATATTGTCATTGATAGTAACTACATGTTCTTTACTTAGGCCAAAACAAAATATATGTGTGGTTACCGTTACATGCCGAAAGAAAATAGGGTAGGTAGGTAGGGAAAACATTTTATTTTCTTGAATATTTTATTTACGAACCATGTCCGAAGGATGTGCATTGTGCCTTTTGAAGCAGGAACTGACCAATCAAATTTTTTTCTCATTTTTTTTGTGTGTACTTTAAAGAAAATTGACAATTAAAATGTTTAGGGTCGCTGGGAATAGGGTCGGTCGAAAAACCGTAACCACACCTATATTTTGTTTTGGCCTTAGAGGTGGACACTGGTGGAGGCAAGTTGTATATTTTAGTTATGCGCTACAATCTAGTGTTATCAGACGAACCTGAAGTGTAGGTTCACCGTGATGATACATACCTTTGTCGCCAGTTTTTGTGTATATTTTTGGTACTCTCTTATTCTGACTGAAAATTAAGATGAAAATGCAAGTAAATAATTAGTGTATTTAATAAAAAACATCATTATAGCTGAGGTGAGGAGATGCATGAAGTGTGTGTGAGGATTTGCCTTAGCACTATGATGAGGCACTGTAATTGGACCTTGCTTTTTGTGATGTCACCACACAGCAAATATAAATATGCAGGCTTAACATATATACAATACACCCTGTGTATGACAAAGACGTACATGACAATACAAGACGTTTAAAAGACGTCGTGTGAACACTGTAAAACTAGATCTGTTTAAAAAGATGATACAATACTTTTGAACTTAACACCAATCAACAACATTAGTAGTGTTGCCCGTGGGGTCTATGTCTCCCTGACCTCTGTTTGACCTGGCTCGTTTAGATCTTTCTGACTAACCCTAACCCTAACCATTATAGATAGTTACCGAGGGTTAGGGTTAGTCAGAAAGATCTGAACGAGCCAGGTCAAACAGAGGTCAGGGAGACATAGACCTTATCTGCAGCAAGGAGCTAAATATTTAGCTCCTTGAGCCGCAGTGCCAGTAGTGTTGATCGATGCCCGCTCTGTGATTCATGAACCCGCGTGCTGTATAAACCAGACAGCGCCCAACAAACCAACTCCACTCCGAATCGTAGCGGGAGATTTTATAAACTCTGTCAGGTTAGATAATACTCCACAATAGCCCTCACAGCACTGCCTCCCCCCCTCAACACCACACCTCGAGCCTAGACTGTCACCGAACACCGCAGCACCGCTGCTACACACCGGCCCATCGACTACCGGGACCCATCAAGGTGACCTTCGCTCGTAACAGCGCCGTCTGCTGTCATGATTTGAACAAACATTCGAATCGCGCTCTGCCATTATCTATGAAAACTCACACAATGCCGCGGCCCATCTAAAAACTCGGGTGCAAGTAACCGTGAGCACAAGTATCCATGTAATTGTATAGAAACATCGTACTATATAGTTGCTATAATATGTTGCTGATGTGACTATGAGTTTGTGTGTACGCCTCTGCACGGGGAACCAGGGCCGATGGTTATCTCAGAAAGACGCGCGCGCCGCTGTTTTGCTGAAATAATGTCCCCCAGGAATTACACCGTATAGAGACCGGATTAGAGGATCTCCCATTAATATACCAGGAGCAAACAATGCATGATTCACTCCTAGCGTGTGTGTGTGTGTGTGTGTGTGTGTGTGTGTGTGTGTGTGTGTGTGTGTGTGCTCGTGCGCGCGCGCGTATGCTGCGGGCGCGTGTGTGCGCGCGTTTGTGTGTGTGTGCGTGCGTGCGTGCGTATGTTTCATGTCGCTTTGATTTGTGGTCGCAGTCGACGTCTCGATATTTGGGGGGTCGAAAAACGCGAATCGGGAAAAAAACGCGCGAGAAACCGCAGACGACCGCTACGGTTGCTACGAGACGTTGCTGCGTCGTTGTTATATTAAGCATCTGACCGCGGCCCACCCACCCCGCCTGGGACCCTTCTGCCACGTACCACCCACCGCTACACTCACAGCAGCCCGCCCGGGGGGTGTGCCACAGTAATAAATTACATACCATCCACCTGCGGGATAGCGGTGTAACCTGCGCCGCGGAGCCGAGGTCGGTGCGCGACCCGCAGCAGGCGACGAGCGTAGGCGATGCATGGTAGACGAGGGAGGGAATCTCACTGCGCATGCGCGTGTGCGGGTGGTTTATACTCTACCGCGAAAGTAGTATTAATTCCTGCAATAATAATAATCATTAATATGTCCGTATTAATTATCGTAATAATTATGATAATTAACCTACGGTATTGTTTTAATGGTTTAAATAATTAGTACGGTGTTGATTCTACGAAGGCAGGCGACATTTTTTAGCTGAATACTGGTGCTACTATGACTAAAGATCTTTACTTCTACCGGTATATTATCGTTGGAACAACTAAACCTTATTAACATGAATCTCGTGTCTTGAGTGAATAACTGTATAATTTGATTCGTTTTTGTAAGTGAATCTTTGATCTTTGATCTAAGCCCCTCGATTAAATGGATGCGGCTGATGTTTGGCTAGCCGCGTACTGTATAGATTAGAACACCCATGTATCAAATATTATAGCTGATTAGAACATTATTATAGCAGAAAAAAGTGTAATAAATCAAGTCTATTATATATGATAACCTAAGGTATCTGGGCATTTTTTTCCGACCGTCTGCAACGTTTAAACACTTTCACTTGCTTTCACACGTCCATTTAACACGTCAATTATCACCCACTTGCAAATCTCTAAAGCCTGTTTTAACGCACAGGAATTGGCAGAGCGTCACAACATGGACGAATACTCGTGCTACAGTTGCATTCCGGCTCTCGGTCGGTGCTAAATACGTTTCTCTCGATTATTCACTGACATCGTTTCAATTACTTTCCCTCGATTTCTGTATACAAACCTTCTTCTCTCCTCCGCCTCGAGGACGCACGGTCGTTCGTCTGATAAACAACGCAGACGATGATAAATATGTTCTAACGGCGCATTAGTTTCCATAATTTATCTGAAGTTTAACGGATCCAACAGAATCAAGATCACAAAGATAATCCCACGCCTAAGACTCTTTTTAACCGAGAAGTTTTTACTATCGGCAAAAAACAACAACTCGCAGATATGTTCCAGATTTTATCGGAGTACGTACGGCACGTTGGGTTATATATTATGCATAAAACATGACACAAAGTATGATTTTCGCCATGCTATTACTGCGCACAAGCCTAATACTATCTACAACAATTACCTGAAAAAAACGCCTCAAAAACTGGTGCGCTCAATATCACGCCGTGGGGACTAGGGCGCCACCTGGTGGCATTACTGTACAAACTTGCGCTAACATAACATTTTACACACTATACACCTACGCACAGAAATTCAATCGTGATGGTAGCCATCTTGACAATACCGCCGGCAGTGGGCAAAAACTATTAAACTTTGAACGATTTCTCCCTTCCATACAGTTTTACATTACAATCGGGGGAATCTATGTACGAATTCTCCCCTCTAAGTTCAGTTTTAATCTACAATCGGGAGAAACTATGTACGAACAACTCCTTCCATCTATATTCAGATATTTAAATTACAATCGGCGGACAAGCCCACGGCAGAGTCACGACGAACACACGGCAGAGCCGAGAACATACGAGCACCTCTACCTGCACACGCCTCCGCGCTTCCCCCGCTACAATCCACTACTATCCGCTACGATCTGCTACTATCCGCTACGATCTGCTACTATCTGCCAAGATTCGCTATGAACCGCTACGATCCGCTACTATCCGCTACGATCCGCTACTATCCGCTACTATCCGCTACAATCTGCTACAATCCGCTACGATCCGCTACTAACCGCTACGATCCGCTACGATCCATCCTTGGACGCGCTGCTGCTGCTATCTGACACCGTGGAACTGTCGGACGTACCCTCGCTGTCCGGCGCCCCCTGGCGGCGGTTGCTGCGCTGCGGCCGCACCCTCCTGTAGACGGTCTCCTCCTGCTTCTCGAGTTGTACGGCCAACCTCGCCACCGTGAAGAGGTAGTCGCTGAGTCTGCAGGCGGTAAAAATAGTAGTAAACAGTAGAAATGCTGCACGCGGCAACAAACAACAACAAATAGTTGAAATGCTACTGTCTCTCTCTCTCTCTCTCTCTCTCTCTCTCTCTCTCTCTCTCTCTCTCTCTCTCTCTCTCTCTCTCTCTCTCTCTCTCTCTCTCTCGCCCTGTTCTCTCTCTCTCGCTCTCGCTCTCGCTCTCGCTCTCGCTCTCGCTCTCTCTCTCGCTCTCTCGCTCTCGCTCTCGCTCTCTCGCTCTCGCTCTCGCTCTCGCTCTCTCTCTCGCTCTCTCGCTCTCGCTCTCGCTCTCTCGCTCTCGCTCTCGCTCTCGCTCTCTCTCTCGCTCTCTCGCTCTCGCTCTCGCTCTCTCGCTCTCGCTCTCGCTCTCTAGACCCGCCCTGCTCGTTGGCAGCAAAGCGGCATCTGGAGGCGTGCGGTCTAATCTCGAAAATTTGTAGAACCCTGCAGGACTCCGCCCCCCTTCGCATGTCATTCCCCCAGCTCTCGGTACGATTTTACGCCCCGTGCCCGTAATCGATCACACGTACTGGCACTAGCCGCAGTCCAAGGAGCCTAAAATTTAGCCTCCTTGCTTGCAGATAAGGATCTATGTCGTCCTGACCGCTGTTTGACCTGGCTTCGTTTGCAGATCTTTCTGATAACACCTAAACCCTCGCGTAAAAAACATAATTCTTATAACTGGTTTAGGGTTAGGCAGGTTAGTCAGAAAGATCTTAAACGCAGCCAGGTCAAACAGAGTTCAGAGAGAAGCGATAGAGTGACGCCCGCACAGCAACGACTACTAAAGGTTGTGATTTGCGCATGTTTAAGTTCATAAAGAAGTGCTGATTGAATTCATCTTGTTTTAGACAAGAACTAGTTTCACACGTGTTCACACGACGGGCTCTTTTCAAACGTCTCCTTGTATTGTCAGGTACGTCCTTTGTCATCACAGGGTGCTCTTGTATATAGTTAGCCTGCATAGTTATAGTATTGTGCTGTGATGGTAGGACATTCACAGAAAAATCAAGGCTCCAATTAACAGGCAGTGCCGACAGGGAAGCCAGATTAGACAAATACGTTACGCCTATCATAGTGCTAAGGCAACTCACTCACACACACTAATCATGCATTCCTCGCTCAGGCTCTAATGAGGTTTTTTATTACCACTTACAATAATTATTTACTTGCATCTGTCATCTTAATTTCAGTCAAGAATAAGAGATAGCAAAATATAACACAAACTGGCCGAAAGGTAGTATCATCAGCGCGTGAGACCCTAGATTCAGGTTCGTCTTGATACTAGTATGTGGTGAGGCGATAACTAAAATATACACTTGCTCTCACCAGCTTGTCACTTAAGGCCAAAACATAAGATATAGGTGTGGTATACGGTTTTTCGAGCGGACCCGCTATACTAG